AACCATCCACTATTGACTGCACATTGCCCAGAGTCACTACCCTTGATATCACCAGGTCTTTCATTGCCCTGGCAAATTGGATCACAGCAGCCCCCACCGTAGATTTGCCCACTCCAAATTGATTCCCGACTGACCGGTAGCTGTCTGGCGTTGCAAGCTTCCACAGGGCTATCGCCACTCGCTTCTCAACTGTGAGGGCTGCTCTCATCTTGGTATCCTGGCGTTTCAGGGCAGGGGAAAGCAAGTCACAAAGTTCCATGAAAGTGCCCTTACGCATGCGAAAGTTTCGCAGCCACTGGGAATCGTCCCACACCTGCAGCAAGATGCGGTCCCACCAGTCTGTGCTTGTTTCGCGGGCCCAGAATCGGCGTTCCACGGCATGAACCTGCCCCAGTGACACCATGATTTCCACATTGCTGGGGCCTGTGCCTTGTGAGAGGTCTATGTCCATGTCAATTTCCTCATCACTCTCGTCGCTGCGCTGCAATCGCCTCCTCGCCTGGTCCGAGTTTCGCCTTGGCATGTCCTGGCTCTGCATATACTCCAGGACAATGCGCGTGGTGTTCATAGTGCTCATAATTGCCGCGGTGATCTGAGCGGGCTCCATGATCCCAGTGCTAGCTATGGCGCCTGGTCAGAAAAAAGGCGCGAAACTAGTATCTGATGGACCAGGAGAAGGAGGGAGGGCGGGAGGGAGGGCCAAGTGACGACATGGCGTACAGGTACAGGAACAGGGAATTAAAATCAAGAAAGGTGGCTGTGCATCAGGGAGAAACACAAACAACTGTCACACAGAATGGTCCCCCCAAAGATTAAACTGAAAACCCTGGGCTTAGCAGGCTGTTGATTTCACGGAGGAAGGGGAAGCAAATGAATACAGAACAAATCTATTTTTTACATCTTAAGCTGGCAGCCGACGGTGTAGCATGAGTGATAGCCTCTGCAGTACGATGACGATGGTTACCAATCGTAATATACCATCGTCTACCAAAAGGCTGCTGCTGTGTAGCAATGCAGCCCCACGTCTGCCAGCCCCACGTTTGCCAGCACCCAGCATCGCCCTCGGCCTCTTCTGGGTGCTTAGCAGACAATACTGGGCAATTGGCAGAAAATAGTATACTACGATTGGTAGCCATCATCATCGAAACAGTAGCATGTCTGCCCAGGTGGCCATGATTGACAGCCACTCCAGTACGACGACGATGGGTACCAGTCATAATATACTGACGACATGTACCCAGAACCTCCCGCGACACTGTTTTGCATCATCCGGGCATTGGGATCTCAACCCAGAATTCCAAGGGGCGGCGGAGACTGCGGGAACTGTGGGATAGCTACCCATAGTGCAATGCTCCGGAAGTCGACGCTAGCCTCGTACTGTGGATGCGGTCCGCCGACTAGAGCACTTAGAGCATTTTATGTGGGGACACACACAATCGGCTGTATACAACCGATTTCTATAAAACCGGCTTCTATAAATTCGAACTAATTTCGTAGTGTAGACATACCCTCGGTCAAGGTCTGTGTGCAGTGCCTAGCACCCCCTCAATCTTAGCTGGAGCCTAGATGCAATCAATACACTAATAAAAATATGCAATTATGCAGAACAGTCTTCCACAGCATCTGTTCCCTCCTGGACAGAGACACTATCTCACCAAGAAACCCTAATGCATTGTCTTCTTGGGAACGTCACCCTCCCCATCCCAAAATCTCACCGGGTCTTTCTCTAGTGCTTCCATGAGAACCTTCCGAGCCTTTATCAGATTTTTCTGCACTTTCAACACCTGTCGGGCCAGCTTGATGGCATAGAATGAGGCCAGGGGCATCCCCTCATTGTCTCGTATGGCTTCCTGCAGCAGAGCCTCAGCTGCCTCCAGGTTGCCATGTCGCCGCTCCAGGCTCACCCTCCGCAGCCGAACCATAGCCAGCCCAGGGATGGACTCCTCATAAGACTTCAAGATGCGACGTGCCTCCTCCAGGTCTCCTGCACAGATGTGGGAGGGGAGAAAGAAAGAAGTGACAGTGGCAGTGAAGGCAGGCAGCATGGCAAGCACATGTGGTGCTCAGTGAATTTAGAGGCTATATTTATTTTGCTTTAAATCTGTTGTATGAGAGTCTCACTCATTTCAAAGGCAAAAAACTTACCACACTAGGGGGCTTAAAGGGTTTAGCGGCATTTTCCAAATCATCTAACCTCCGCTTTAAGCCTGTAAAGACTGAAGGGGATAGCGCACCATCACGGATACACATTATGGTCTTGGCTTTGCAATTTAAACATGGTACAGGCCAATATTTGCAATTGAAATCAATATAAATCTGACAAGAACACATTTTAAACACATGGACACAGCTAAAGCAAAGGGTTTCTGGCCAAGAAGCTCCTAGGTTTCTGTATGTCCCTTACTAGGCAGCAGTTCACAGATTAAGGCCAAAAGAGACCATTAGATCATCTAGTCTGACCTCCTGTATAATATAGGCTGGAGAATCAACCAGTTCCCCCTGTGTGGAGCGCACACACTTATAATTGACTGAAGTATCTCCCAGGAAGACATCCAGTCTTCATTTGAAGACCTGAAGAGATGGAGAATCCACCACTTCCCTAGGGAGTTTGTTCTGATCGTTAATCATCCTGTCAAAAACATGCCTTATTTCTAATTGGAATTGGTCTGGCTTTAACTTCCAGCCACTGGGTCTTGTTCTGCCTTTCTCCACTAGGCTAAAGAGCCCTTTAAGTATCCAGTATTTCTCTCCCCCCCCACCCATGAAGGTACTTATATACACCATAATTAAATGACTTATTGATCTTTTTGATAGGCTAAAGAGACTGAGCTCCTTAAGTCTCTGTAAATAATTTTTTCCAACTCTCAAATCATTTTTCTGGCTCTTCTCTGCTGGGGGTTTGAAGACACGCACCCAGGTGGGCTATCCCAACTTACATGTGAGTTTATAGAAAAGAGAGCCAGAGCCAAGATTTACAGAAATGACTAGTGATTTTGCTCAACTTGAGACATCTTAAAGGAGCCTGGATTTTCAAATTGCTAAGCGCTCTACCTCTAAGAAAACACCAGGTGTCACGCTGGGCACTCAAAACTCACTAACTGATTTTGAAAATCTTAGCCCAGCATTCCCAGATTCTATTGCTCGCTAAGCACTCTGGGAGAGACTAGCACATGAAGAGCTAATTTAGAGTTCAGAACTGAACCAGTCATGTCTGCCCCTTAAGATCTGGCCTCAATCTTTCAATAAGAGTTACTGAGCAGGCTGGTTGTGAACACACAAAAACAGGGTTGGGTGGCTTAGTGAAATGTCAATGAGAAACTCTATCACCTCCCCCACTATTGAACTGCTTAGTAAAGTCAACTTCCAGCTAACCAAAGGCTTCTCAGGCCAGCAAATCAGCAGAGGGGTGCAGATAGGGTAAGTTTCCTCTGACCTTGTTTCTCTTCAAATGCAGCCCACAGGAGGTGGATGTTGGGCTTCCTGGGGAGGTGGTAGCCACAAGCTCGTTGGAAGACGCTCCTGGCCCCAGCCACAGTGTGGTTCTCAAGGTATTTCGTGTACTAGATTAAAAGGGGTCGAGGGATACAAAGAGGACATGGATGCGTTAAGGTTGCCAACTTCCTGTGGCATAGAATGTATGAAAGTCTGCTACATCAGCTTGTATTGAGAAGGTTATGGTGCACTCACGTTAAGGGGCTTAACACACCTCTCTTCAGAATTTCCTGCACCCTCTTAGGCAGGTAGGAAACACGGGCAGATAAAAAGCAGCAACGGAATTTAAAAGAAGGGTGTTAGAATTTTGCTCCACAATATACATGCAGAATAAAAAAAAATAAATGAAACGTTTGGAAATCCGTAAGAGAGCACCACCTGAACTCGTGCTGACTGCACAAGTAATGTGGGCAGCAGCCAGGGTGGGGAGAGGAATCTCATGCCCTGGTGCAGAATTAACTCTCTGATTCCCAGGGGGCATTTAATACCCCCACCCCTAACAAGATGCTGCTGACTTAGTCCAAGGGCTAGGGGACTCTGCCCAAGGCTAAAGGGGAGCAGAATTACTAGACCCTGCCTAAGTGCTAGAGGGCGAAGCCAATCTACTTTAAACCAGTGAAACAAGAGACTGCACCCAACCATTCTGTTCCAGCTCTGAGCTGCTGTCCCAAGGGGTGGGCTTGCTAAGCCCTGTAGGCCAGTGTGCCCTGGGGATTTAGCAGATGCTTCCCCCTTTACCCACAGCCATTTTTTAAAAAAGCAGTAGGGGTATTGAAGTTAAAATTTGCTCTTATCAGCTGCAGAATAGGGACACAAATCCTCCCAAGGCCTGCTACCTCCATCCAAAGCCAATCCACCCTCTTAGTCATGGGATTGTTGAACATTTGGGACTGCAACGAGGCTTTGGCTTATCTCCTGCCTGTCTTCTGTGAATGAGGAAATACGGTAAACTAACAGATCCATCTTCCAGGGCTAAGACAACACATAGCCATTGAGGAGATTTTTTAGAGCATCCTCTTAACTGCCTTAGGAGCAGAGATGGAGGACCGTGTGGGGAGGAGGGGAGGAGCGCCGCCCATCTTCAGAGTGAAGTCAGCAGGATTCAGATATGCGGCGCAACCCCCAGGGAGGAGGGGGAAGTGAGAAGGGGCTCACCTTGATCCAGAACTCCTCGTAGAGGGCACAGGCAATGACGCAGCGCTCAAAAAGCACAATGGTGCGCTCGTGGGAGCCACTGGTGATCTCATAGTCCAGATAGTCACGCCAGTTCTTCAGCTGTGCTCGTTCCAGCGGCTTGACATGAAAGTATGGCCTCTTGATCTGCAAAATGTTTGGGATGGGGAGGAATAAACAGAGGTTCGCAAGACAGATAGGAGGGGGGCTGCAGAGGAAGCAGACTCAGGCACAGGATGGTGGGGGAGAGCTAACCTAGAGAGCAAGTTCTCAGGGGCAGGTATTGCATGTGGTGCCTTGTACAATGCAGCCCTGACTAGGATCCTTAGATGTTACAATAAAGATACAAATATTGTAGAGCAGACATTCAGAACAGCATTCAACCCAGGGAGGAGCTGATGGAAGGGCACCATGATGGTACATCCCTCATCTATCTCCCTATAGTTTGCAAAATGCTACCCAGGCAGCAAATGTAGCCACCTTTTGGGGGTGAGATGAGAAACCCCGAGTACACAGCAGCAAGGGAAGAAAATTTTGGCCAGATATCTCCATTACAAAGAGCGCTGTGAAATCTTATGTTTGTGTAAAGACAGGAGCTCAGATTAAGGCCCCCCAGTACAGCTCCATGTTCAGCGTTGCTACTTCAGAAGGATGAAGGAGTGATTCCACCAGGGGAAGTCTAGGTATGTCTAACCCAGGGGTGGGCAAACTACGGCCTGCGGGCCGGATCCAGCCCCTTAGGACTTTGGATCCAGCCCGCAGGATTGCCTCCCATGGCACTATGGGCCTCGCGCCGCTCTCAGAAGGGCGGGGGGGGGCAGGGCAGAGGGCTCAGTGCATTGCCATTGCCTCCAGGTACCACCCCCCACAGTTCCCACTGGTTGGGAACAGGGAGCCACGGTCAATGGGAACTTTGGGGGAGGTACCTGGAGGCGCGGCAAGGGCAGCGCACGTGAAGCCCTCCGCCTCTGGCCCCGATGTGCGCAACTGCTACCCCAGAGCTGCTTTAGGTAAGCGGGGCCGAGCCGGAGCCCGAACCCCTCCTGCACCTTGCCCCCCAACGCCCTGCTCTAAGCCCCCTGCCTGCACCTCGCACCCCTCTTGCACCCCAACTCCCTGCCCTGAGCCCCCTCCTGCACCCCAACCCCCTGCCCTGAGCTCCCTGCTGCACCCTGCACCCCTGTGCACCCCAACCCCCTGCCCTGAGCTCCCTGCTGCACCCTGCACCCCTGTGCACCCCAACCCCAGGCCCTGAGCCCCCGCCACACCCCACACCCCTCCTGCACCCCAACCCCCTGCTCTGAGCCCCCTGCCACACCCCACACCCCTCCTGTAGCCCAACCCCCTGCCCTGAGCCCCCTACCGCAGTCTGCACCCCTCCTGCACCCCTGCCCTGAGCCCCCTCCTGCAGTCTGCACCCTTCCTGCATCCCTGCCCTGAGCCCCCTCCTGCACTCTGCACCCCAACCCCCTTCCCTGAGCCCCTTCATACACCCCGCACCCCTCTTCTGCCCCAATCCCTTGCCCTGAGCCCCTTCCTGCACACCACACCCCCTCCCGCACCCCAACTCCCTACCCTGCATACAATTTCCCCACCCAGATGTGGCCCTTGGCCCAAAAAGTTTGCCCACCCCTGGTCTAACCTAACCTGGCCATCCCCTCTGGCTTTTTATCTCTCCATAAGAGATGGCTTGTGTGAAACAGAGAACCCACAAGAACGTCTGTGAATTCTGCCAAAACAATGCACGTTATTTCCTCTTCACCGAACAGAATTTGAGGATTCTGCACATAGGGACTGGGGTAACAGCTCAGATCGTGGATGCTGCTAAGCACCTAGTCCATGCCGTGGAGCCTTGCCTACAGCTGTGTCCATGGTTACCTACCCCTTCCTCAAAGTTCCAGCGCTTGCTGACTTCTGTCTCGTTCTGGGTGTACACTTGCTGCCGGATGGAAATAACAAGCTCCCGGATCTTGTCCTGGTCCAGGTCTCCCTTGAAAAGGAACCAGAGCAAAGAGATGGTGATAACCTTATGTTTCTATAGCATCTTCCATCTCATTTAGATCTTAAGTCATGTGTGAAAGGATCACTAAACATGGCTGCCCCGAGGTGAAACACAGCCATGTTGCCTAACACTTTAAAACAGTCGGTGAAATAGACTCTTTAATTCAAATTAAATTGAAAGGGGGGAATTTCAGAGAGCCAGCACGTAGCTGGAATATGTTGGAATATGGCCAGGAGAGGGAGGATCACATGCTGTCTTTGACAAGAACTGCCAGGGCATCTTTAGTAACAAGGATCTATGTTTCACATCTTAATCCTTTCCACCATGCTGGGGTACAAAGCCAATGTCTCACACTGGCAATCCACACTGAGGTCACTACCTCCAATTCCTGTAGTTCTCCAGGATGGGAAAATGCTCCAAAGTGAAACCCTTGAATACTGTGCAGGACTTTGCATACAAAAACGGAGGAAATCTCAGATTGCACTGAGCAGACTATAAAATGCAATGCAGCATAGGGCGGGATCTTGATGGGGGAAGAATAGCCAAGTCTGCAGCAATCTCTCCAGGTCTATTCAAGAGTGAATACTGCACTGGACTGGGCATCAGGATAGACTGGACTACTATTCCTGGCTGTCATTTACTGCTGTGACACTCTGGAAAAGTCTCTTCTCCTGTCTTTGCCTTCATTTCACCCCCTACCCTTTGTCTATTTAGATTCTAACTTCTTTTTTGGGGGGATGGGCAGGGACTCTCTCACTAAGTGTTTGTCCAGCACCCTGCAGAATAGGCCCCACCCCCAACATTGTTCAGGGCCTCTCTGTGCTACCATAACACAAATAATAAACAACAATACCCACCCTGACAGCAGATGTCAGCTCAGAATAACTGTCAAAGTCTGCATCATTTGGGTAGGAGGCTGAGAAGCGTGGTACCTGGGCATCCGCTCCTGTTTCGGACTTCACTTCCACCCCCGGAGGCAGGTCTTCCCCAGGCGGCACCTCCTCCACCTCTGTCTCCACACTTTTCTGTACTGTGTCCGTGGTGATCTTGGATTGCAACCAGAGCAGCTCCTCTGCAGACAGGATGTCTTTGGGGGAGTTGCTCATCACATGCTCCTTGAACCTGAGGCATGGGAGGAAGGAACAACAGCTGATGATGGATACCAAAGCCCACTCAAGTCAGAGTGAGGAGGCCTTCTAAACCCGGTCATTCAAACTGCTCAGGAGAGTCTAAAACTGAGGAACAGCTGTACCCAATCAGGTCATATGTCTGCCTGAAGTGGTGTCCCACGCAGCCATCTTATTTTATACTGCAAGCTAATTTGGAGGCATCTGCACCAATTTTTGTGTCATTTTTCTTAGGTCATTACCAAAGTATCACAGCACCTCACAATTTTTAATGGATTTATCTTTGCAAAACTCCTGTGAAGTAAGACAGTGCTATTATCCCCATGTTACAGATAGGGAACTCAGGCAGAGAGAGACTAAGGAGAGGTCTACCCTGCAATCAGGAGGCGATCCAGCTAGATCAAAGCCAGCTCAAGTAACAATAACAGTGAAGCCACAGAAGCATGGGTGGTGGCCACCTGAGTATGTACCCAAGATCCCAGGTGGGTGGGACTAGCCTGTGCTGCCAGAGCTTCACTCCTGTTACTCAAGCTAGCTCTGATCTAGCTAGCTCAGGTACCTGTACCCTAGCTGGCAGAGCTGGGAACTGAACCAGGTCTCCCAGTCCCAGGCTAGCACCCTAACCACTGAGCCATCTTGCATCTCTCGTCTTCACCTCCAGTTGTATCAGATCAGCCCAGTGTCCGCTGTATCAGACAAGATGGACAGTGTGGTCTCTTGCTCGGAGTAAATAGTGTGGGGTGCTCCAGAGGAAAATGCTCCTTAATGCATAACAGTTTGATACTACACTGCATGTGTACGTACATGTGACAACCTATACTCCCCACCTCCTTCTCTGATCCAGTTAGCTATCAGCTCATGCCTTGAAGATGGAAAATCACTAAGTGTGTTTAATCCTTTCCCCAGACTTAGCAAGCTCTCTGCCTCCACTGTCCTGCCACAGAGAGTTCCACAGCTTAACTACTCAAATTGGCAGCAAGTGGGTTGAGAGGAAGGATTGTCCAGTGGTTAGGGCACTGGGTTCAATTGTCTGCTCCCTCAGACTTCCTGTGTGAACCTGGGCAAGCCACTTAGTCTCTCAGCTCCCCATCTGTAGAATGGGATAACAGCACCACCCTACCTCACTTGGGGTGGGGGAAGGGCACGAATTGTGAGGCCATTAAAAGATTGTGAGGCACTCAGATGCTGCAGGAAGGGGAAAAATCTGCCTTACAAAAAATGACAACCATCAACTTCTACAGCTAGGAACTGGGCAACTTGGGAGAAGGACGTGCAGGGGGCTGTCCCAGAAAATCTGGGACGATTTACATGTTGCAAAAGAGAAATTTTTGTGATTTTTTTTGTGTGAATTTAACCTCAATAGTAAGTTCCACACTGAGCCATAGAAAGAGTAGTCCTCTGTCTACAGAATAGGCCAAAAACTCCACCAGATTAAAAGAGAGAATGGATACTTATATGGATATCAAGAAAATCCAGAGTTGTAATAACTAATGACAATAAATACTGTGGAAGGAATATTAAACCTCAGGCTTGAGGGGTTAAACCAATCACTAACTATTAGACATCAGGAGGGGCCTAAGGTGGGGACCAGATTATTCCATGTCTGCTAATCCGGGGCTTTTATGCCTTCTTTTGAAGCCTGACCTCCTGTGTAACACAGAGCAGAGAATTTCAACTGGTCACTCCTTTATTAAGCCTAATTTCTATGTTCAGATAGAGTACAAGCAATGCAATACAAGTTTCTCCTATGCTATCCTGTAAACACATCCCCTCCAGGGAAAGAGGGAAGGTCAGTTTAGATGACCTACCCCAAGCCAACGCTTAGCCTCTCTGCAAAGACCACCAATCGGGAACCATCACTGCCAAACTGTGGTGGTTGTTCCTGAGACCCACGGACTTGTTTCATCCTGAATGAGACTTACTTTTCCCAGTGGTGGCTGTACAGCTGGGTTGGTGTGGAGAGCACTCGGTCATAAATTGCTGTGATGGCCTTCAGGTCACCTTGTTCTTTCTCCCACTCCACATACATCTCCCACAGTTTGTCTGAGCGGAAGTCCATTCCTGCAGCAGCCACGGCTGACTCAAACACACTGTAAGGGAGAAAGAACATCCATTAACAAGAAAGGCAGCGTGCTCTAATGGGTGGGGCACTGAACTGGCACTCAGGAGACCTGAGTTTTATTCTCATCTCATGGGCAGGTTGCTTCCCCTCTGTTTCCTCTCCACCCTTTGTCTTGTCTATTTAAACTATATCCATTTTGGGGGCAAAGACTCTCTCTCCCTTCATGTCTGTACAGTGCACAGCATTATGGGGCACAGATCTTGCCCACAGATCTAGGCACCACTGCAATACAAACAGCCACCCCAAAGAAAGCAAGATCCCTGGATCTTCGAGTAGTTCACTGACCCAGCCAATATTACAGTCTCCCCTAATGCCTTACACAGTGTTGTCCTGTGTTTTTGATGCTCTGGTTATGTACCTGTGGATCTTCTGTATGGACTCAGGAAGGTTCATATCTAAGGTGGCCTGTAAGTAAGAAATGTAATGGATCCAGAGGTCCATGCTGAGGGGGATGGACTGCAGCCCTCGTTCGAACACCTGCAGAGCAAAAAGTTCTGACAATGACTGCAACAAAAAGAAGCTTCATAATGCTCCCTCCCATCTGACCCATGTGAAAGATGCTATAGTATATTCAAAGACTATTAAATGGATTTCATAGGTGCTGTATGTATCTGTATGTGATCATTAGCAATTACATTCCTAGCTAAAAGGGTAAGGTACAGAATGCTTCCTGCAATAACTAAAGGAAGTGGGGTAACTAATACAAATTCCTAATACTGAAACAATGCAACTAAAGTCTTTTGAAGATTCAACCTCTTGGGGGAAAAAAAGCACCTGGATCAGATGCCTTAGCAGACAAAGGCCTTGAAGCAGCACAAAATAACAACCCTGACCTGAGATATGGTCATAAACCATTCAGTAACTGACAGGCATGATATGTTTACCAATAGAATCAGACTGCATGAGAAGACCCAAAGTATTTTAGACCTGCCATGGTCTCCACATGGAAGAGAGGTGACCACCTGGTAAACAAGACATGCATATAAGCTTTTGTTGTGAATAATTGGTACTTTGCTTTACGAAAACTGGCTGGTGACTGGATAATTCTGTTATTGAGAACTGCAGGTAACTGAAGACAGACCTACTGAGGCAATCACAGTAAATTGCAGGGGTCTGCACCTAAGGACCTGGTCTGGAGAGAGAGAATTGTGGTATTCCACCCTGAGAAAGGTGACTGCTGGAGGCCTGAGACCTAAGTGTGGTGCCCTTGAGGAGATGCAGTCAGAGGTGCAGTTAATTCAGGAAATGTGCCAGATCAGTCCCAGGGAAGAGCACCCCATTGGCCATCAACTCCTGGGAAACCAGCGCAGCATCAAAGGAGGCAATCATAGAAAAATAGGACTGGACGGGACTCAGGAGGCCACCCCCACCGACCATCCCTGACAGGTGTTTGTCTCATCTGCTCTGAAAAACCTCCAAGGACGGGGATACTACAACCTCCCTACATAATCTGTTCCAGAGCTTAACTATCTTTAGAGTTAGAAAGTTCTTCTTAATATCTAGCTCTCCTTTGTTGCAAACTAAATCAATTACTGCTTGTCCTATCCTCAGTAGACATGGAAAATTATTGATTGCTCTCCTCTTTATAACAATCTTGTGCATATTTGAAGATTATGTCTCCCCTCAGTCTTCTCTTCTCTAGACTAAACAAGCTCAATATTTTTAAATTATTTTCAGTCATGTCTTTCTAAACCTCTTGTTTTTGTTGCTCTTCTCTGGACTCTCTCCATTTTGGCCATATGTTTTTTAAAATGTGGTGCTAAAAATCAGTCAGGGTACCCCAGCTGAGGCCACGTAAGTGTTGAGTCCAGCAGAACAATTACCGCCTGCATTTTATATACATCATTCCTATTAACACACCCCAGAACAACATTTGCCATTTTTGCAACAGCATCACACTATTGACTCGTATTCGATTTGTGATCCACTATAACCCCCAGATTCTTTTCTGCCTCACCAGCTTTTCCCTGTTTTATAGTTGTGTGTTTGATTTTTTCCTTACAAAGTGTGGTACTTTACAGTTGCCTTTCTTGAATTTCATCCTATTGATTTCAGACCACTTCTCCAATGTATCAAGGCCATTTTGTATTCTAATCCTGTCCAAAGTGCTTGCAACCCCTCCCAGCTTGGTGTCATTCACAAATTTTTATAAGCATACTCTCCACTGCATCATCCAAATCATAAATGAAAATATTGAATACTACTGGACCCAGGACGGATATTGCAGGACCCCACTAGATATGCCCTCTCAGTTTGACAGTGAACCATTTGTAACTACTCTTTGAGAACAAAAGCTAGACACAGTCTTTCAGCCAATTATGCACCCACCATATAGTAGAGCATTTTCCCCTAGTTCGCCTATGAAACTGTCATGTAGGAATATGTCAAAACTCTCACTAAAGTTCAGACATATCGCAGCTGCTGATTCCTCTCCTATCCACTAGGCTGGTTACCTTGTCAAAGAAGGAAATTAGTTTGTTTTGGCATAATTTGTTCTTGAGGAATCCATGTTGGCTGTTACTTAACATCCTAATATCTTCTAGGTGCTTATAAACTGATTGTTTAATTTGTTCCAGTATCTTTTCGGGTATCAAAGTTAGGCTGATTGGTCTATAATTCCACAGGTCCTCTTTTTCTCCCTTTTTAAAGATAGGTGCTATGTTTGCCCTTCCTCCAGGACTTCACCCATCTTCCATGAGCTCTCAAAGACAATTGCTTATCAGCTTAAACAATGCATTGCTACTATATAATTACCAAGTCATCTGTGATAGACACCAAGGGGGACCTTTTGCACAGGCTTTGTGAAGAACGCCTGGCCCTATCGCATTGGGTCCATTCAACAAGGTGTTAGCCACTGGGGTAATCAACCTTGGAAGGGCTGCTGTAGCACAGCACAAAGAAATCCCAAATAATTCTCCCTCCTACCTCCTCTGTCTCCTTGCTGAAGTCGAAGCGCCTCTCCATGTCCGCATACTTCTTCCAGTAGCCGTAGCAGTAGGGGTAGCGAGCAAAAAAGGCGTCGAAAGCTTTTCGTGCTGCAAAGATGTGATTCTGTACAGAGAGAGGGCAGCAGGAGAGGAATGAGCATGTGTGAAGAGCCCTGGAACTGGGAGAGCTGGAAACCAAACCCTGCCAGCCCCAAAGCAGCCTTACAAATAGAACTGGTAGGAAAACAGGGGTCGTCATTCTCCTACACACAAAATATCATGGTTTGACTGAAAATTGAAGTGTTTCAATTTTGAAATGTCACTGTGGTGCCTCATGGGAGTTGTAGTTCAGGTGTCCCAGGCTCCCATTCTCTTCCATGAGATGGACTCCCTCAGTCAGACTACAACTCCCATGATGCACTGGAGTCTCCCCCTCTTTGTGAGGGGACACTGTGCATCATGGCAGCTGCATTAATGCGGTGAATCACAGAAGATATTGTCCATCTCCGAACTACAACTTCCATGAGGCACGGCAGGTGCACTTCAGAAATTAAACACTTGGGTTTTCAGCTGAAAGGTTTCTGGTTTTCAAGCAGGGTTAGTGATTTTGGAGGTGATGGTTGTTTTTGGGGGACAAAACAAACAATTTCCATAGACAGCAGACACTTTTATCAAAAAGTTTCATTTAATCAAAACCCCAATTTCCATTGAAAAACAGTTTTGACTGAAAGTTTTCAAACAAGAACAAGTTGGTCTTACTTAGCACTTGACAAACCCTAATTTGGGTTTACAATATAATAAGCTGTGTGTCTCTAAATACTATGTTACCACACCACCTTCAAAGGGAAACTCCATCAATTTGCAGCGAGTCTTAGGCTCTTCCAAATTATCTCTTGTATAATGCTCTTTCAGGTGGCAATTTGATCTTTCATCTGAAGATCTGCGAGGGCCTTGCATTAAATCTCTCACTAATTAGTACTGAAACTTGCAATACCTATTAAAGAATTAGCCCATTAAAATTAATCAAAGGCGTTAGAACAAATCTAGCCCTTGACAAACCAAGTGCAATACCAGAGACTTCAATGAAGTTGCATCTGTTTGTGGCATGGCTGAATCTGTCAGACCTTAAGATGGCTTGATTAGGGTGAAGCAATATGCACTGCACGTAAGTGATTAATCTTACAAATGGGAAAACAGACACAGATAGGTGAACTGTCACAAAAGTTAGTGATAGAGTTGGGAACAGAACCTAGGAGTCCTGTCCCCTAGACATCTGCTGCGCTAACCATTCAATCTCACTCCCCTCTGAAAGCTGGGAATAGAATACAGGAGTCCTTACTCCCACCCTCCACATTACTTTAACCATTGGACCCCACTCTTCTCCTAAAGCTGGAAACAGATCCCAAAAGTCCTCTGCACACAGGACCCTCTCTAACTATTAGACAACTCATTCCTTTTTTCTAAATTAAAGGAGTTGCTACTTTTTTGTAGAATTATAAACTTCACAAGCTGGTGGCACCTGCGCTACTGTTAATTTTGCTATTTGCTTTTTAATAGCCCCATGCACCAAGAGAATTCACTCCCTACCTCTTGTTCCACATACTGCAGCAGTTCGGTCCATGCTGTGAAGTCATGAGGATTCTCGTGAGCTGCCTTCCAGTACTTCTCAAACTCCAGAGGGTATGAGAGGGAGGCTTCTTCCGTTGCCACAGGGGTAGCCACTGCTGCGTGTTCCTCCTCGGGGGCAGGATATTGACAGTTCTCTTCACTTGCATAGGGGTCCTTGAGCCTTGACACGCTGGCTTCAGTGTTAACTCCATTGCACCCTTGCACTGCTTTGGTGTCTTCTTGCTTACTGATACTGTCACTTGGCGGGTCTGGAAGCAAGTCTTGGTTGGGACCTACAGCATCAAGATCAGTAAGGAGGTGAGGGATCTATCTTGGGTTTCTCTATCTTGCTGCCAACGATTACCATCTTTTAAGCATATGCACCAGTGAAATATTATATCAGTTGTGTCAACATTCCCTGACATACATTCATTACCCAGTACGTTTCAACATACTGGGTAAAGAACAGAAGCCAAGGTGTGTGCCCCTTTAATTCTGCTTTTATCTTGGAGTAGATAAAATAAAAAACAAGACAAGCCTCCTCAATCTTGTTTCGGTTCATATAGCTATACCATGTCCATTGCCATGATATCTGATAATCTGATTGTTCTTCTGAGAGATGTAAACACCAAAGAAAGAACCAGACCAGACCTACATTGATATCCTGTCTCCAAACACTACAGGATGATTGAGGGGGAAATGCAAGAAACCCCTGCAGTGGATAATTATGTAATAACCTGCCCACAGGGTAAGTTTCTTTCTCATCTGAGGCAGTCAGCAGTTGTCTTATGTGAGAAGGACTACAGAGGGCCCAAAGAGATCTAAATAGGAGCATCAGGACAGAATTGAACAGAGCAAAAACTTCAGGCTGTATACCTGAATATCTAGAATCATCTCCTAATGTGGAGAAATGTCAGATTGTAAAAGAATCAGTGGTAAAAGCCTCATTGCTTGAGCCACTGAAATTGGATGGTCAAAGCCCTGGAGAATATATTGCAGAAAGCAATCCTACATTTGGGAAGAGGGAGATGAGGAGGCAGACTACAAAATGATCTGGCATATTTTTTTCATCATTAACTTCACAACACAGATTACTGGAAAGGAGAGTCATTCTGCAATTAACACATACCTTACTACAAGGCAATATTTTGGAAAGAAAATTAACATACAAACTACAGCTCTTGAGTAAACTGGGAAGGAATGTAACATTTCTTTGGTGTTGGAAACTACTTCACTGTCTTATTTGTACCGATACGGGAGCAAGTAATGTAGTTAAGAAAGAAACCGCTGTTCCCCAGAGCATTAGACTAAGGATGGGTGGGTAAGCTTATGAGGTGGGGACACAAGACTTCTATGTACTTATATGGTCCTCATCACAATAGTATCTAAGCATCTCAATCATTAATGGGGGCTTTTTATCTTTCACCACACCCATGTGCGGTAAGAAACAAATTACCCCCATTTTACTTAGGAACAGGTTCTATTAAGTGACTTGCCCTAGATCACACGAGTTTGTGACTATAGGAGAAACTGAACCCAGGTTTCTTGAGTTCCACCAGTCCAACTTTCCTACCCTAGGAATGTATACCTAGTGTTATACAGAAGGGGAGGATGGATAAGGAAGGTTATGAGTAGCACGGTGAAGATGCAAACCAAACTGCTTTGTTGTATTCCTCAATTGCCTTCTATACAATTTCTTGCATCTTCCTCTGAAACAGCTGGTACTGATCAGTATCAGAGACATAATACTGGACTTGGCTACACTCGCGGATTCACAGCGCTGAAGCGCGAGTGCAGTCACGCTGCCAGCGCTGCGAGACCCTCTCGCAGCACTGCAGGCGCTGATTATACTGGCGCTTTACAGCGCTGCACTCTGGGGTGTGTGTGTGTTTTTTCACACCCCTGAGCGCAGCAAGTGCAGCGCTGTGAATTGCCAGTGTAGCCAAGGCCAAAGGAGCTAGCTCCAAAGGTGTTCAGTCTCCATGGTTTATGCAGTCCCTGGCCTCTCTGGGAAATGGACTAAACTCAAACTTGGGTCACACAGCCCTCTGAATACTAACTAATTTTAAAGTTTTGAGCCTATCCCCACACCTGTGGGTAAGGTAGAACCTAAATAGGTTACATTTTTAAGAGGCAAGCTTTTGCTCTGTGATAAAGCACCAAAGATTTCAAATGCCCCTGCTCCAGTAAGTACCCAATATACTACAGCAGTTTAGAAAGTGAGTCGTAGTCATGCAAGTATCCCACCAAATATCTTCGTTCAAGTCCATCATGTCAGCAAAGCTAGCTAATGAGTCTCTCCCACTTAGAACACACTTTATAAACTAAGCAATGAAATTCCAGACAGACCATGGCAGGAAGAAAAAACTACTCACAAGTAAAGTATCTGCATGAAATGCTAGGCCCCTCTGCCTTAAATCTGGTGCATGTCACTGTCTGGGTCATCAGTCAAGAATTAAATTTTTTGTGTAAATACTGCAAAAGGTGCCTCACAAGGCAAAATCGACTGCACTGTGACAGATGGTGGGGAAAGAGACACAAAAGTGAAGCAATATGCTCTACACCACAAATGGAGTTAGGGAGAGATCTAGGAGTAAAACTCAAGAGATCAGGCTCCCAATTTCCTGCACTCACTATCAGGATTCACTCCCCATCCCAGAGCTGAGAATAGAATTCAGGGATCCTGGCTTCCCCTGCTCTCTCCCCTAGATCCTCCCCAGAGCCAGGAATAGAACCTAGGAGTCTCTAACCATTAAGCATTGCCATTTCATAGTATCAGACAAAGAAGGTGAACTAATCAGTCCCATGGCCTCCAACAGGACAACACACAGGTCCACTATTTACATGCAACCCAGAAACGAACCAACTCCAGTTTCCCTGCTGTGTAACCAGACTGCTGACAAATTTATCCCACAGCAAGTTAATTGTTCAGACTAATCCAGCTGACAGAGTGGACCAGCAAGAGATAAGTGTCCAGAGACGAACTACCAAACCCTCCACCTCCTCAGAGAAGGCCATACATCAGGGATCATCCCAATACAGTGATCCCTTTTGGGGTGCCCCTCCTCAGCCCAGGAAGCACCTCACCCTTTCCCCTCTCCTCTGAACTATTCTATAGCATTTCCCCCCTTCACCAACAACCCCATGGGTCCCACTGCAGACAGGTGTTCTTCCTCAGTTCCAGCAGTTCTCTCTACCAAGGTCCTATCCCAGAGGTACCTTCCCTGGGGAATCCCCCTGAAGAATCCCTCCTCCCCCAATCCCCAGGAGGCGCTCTCCTCTGGGAGCACTTCTCTCCCCTAGCCCCAGAGAGACCCCATCACCGCCCAGGGGGAACCACCCCCCCCCCAGACTCCTGGCCTTCCTCTTCCCTCTGTCCCCAAGGGGACACACTCGCTCTTCTCGAAAGTTTCCCTCCTTCCACCACCCCCATACCAAGAGCTCCTCCCCACTCCTGAGAGTGTCCCCGGGGACCATCTCTCTTCCAGGACTCCCTGCACGCTAAAGGGATCCCCCCCAGCCGGGTCATTCCTCCCACAACCCAGGGTCACCATGGAAAGGAACTCCCTCCCCCCGCCCGGGGAGCCCGCTCCTCTCCTCTCCCCCACCCCCGGAGAGCAACCTGGCCGGGGACTTCTCCCAGCCCCAGCCAGACCCCGACCAGCCCTTTTCCCGCTCTCACCGCCAATGTCCAGGCCGCTCTCGCCGCCCTCGCCTCCCCCGCCGAGGGCCCTCTCGGTCCCGGCTCCGCCACAGCTTGTGCTCCCCGCCACCTCCAGCCCCTCAGCCGCCATCTTGTCCCCCAACTACTATGGCGCCACCAACTGCGCCAGCAGTGCGCATGCGCCCGTCACAAGGACCCGGATGGGTAGGCCGCAGGCGTAGTACAGGAAACCAGTGAGAGTAACGGGAAACAGGCTAGAGCGGCCCCATCACCGGTTCTGGACTTCCCTTGAGAACATAGAGAGCTGGCGGACGAGGAGCTGAGAGACTCCATAACCCCTTGTGGGTTCTGTGCTATAGAGCAGAACCATAGAGAGCTGGTGGAAGAGGAGCTAGAGCGGCAAAAAGGCTTTTCAGCTGAGCAGAGGCCTTGAGAAGGAAGGGCAGGAGGGCTTCCTCTCAGCTGGCATGTCTGTGCCATGGAGGGGGAGGAATAGGGTGACCAGACAGTAAGTGTGAAAAATTGGGACGGGGTGTGTGTGTGGGGGGGTTAATAAGGAGCCTATATAAGAAAAATACTCAAAAATCGGGACATCTGGTCACCCTAGGGTAGGGTTACCATACGTCCAGTTTTTCCCGGACATGTCCGGCTTTTCAGCAATCAAACCCCCGTCTGGGGGGAATTGCCAAAAAGCCGAACATGTCCGGGAAAATGCCGGCCGGGCACTTCCCCTCCCGCGGCTGCTCTGCTCCTCCCGACTCTTCGGCTCTGTTTAAGAGCCGGGCTGCCCGAGCACTACCGGCTTCGGGCAGCCCCCATGCCTCCGGACCCTGCGCCGCCGGAGCCCGGGAGGGGAAGTGCCCGGCTGGGGGCGCAGGGTCCGGAGGCAAGGGGGCTGCCTGAAGCCCAAGCGCTACCGGCTTCACGGTTTGCCGGGCAGCCTCCAGACCCTGCGCCCCCGGCTGGGCGCTTCCCCTCCGGGCTCCAGCTGCGCTGGGGAAGCACTGGCCGGGGGCGCAGGGTCTGGGGGCTGCCCAGCAAACTGTGAAGCCGGTAGCGCTCAGGCAGCCCTTTCCGCATGGCTGGGAGTGGGAGGGAGGAGGGGGCGGAGTTGGGGCAGGGCCAGGACCCCGTGGAGGGTCCTCTTTTTTTATTTGTTAAGTATGGTAACCCTACCCTAGGGAGGAAGAAAGGGTCAATTGCTGACCAGAGTCCCATGGCACCAGCTCTAGTTTTAAGATTAGAAGACAAAAGGGAACCATAGAGGCCTGGTTAAAGAAGGTCTAGAGGGGACAATCAATTATGTGGCCAATGGACTCCTTTGCCACTGTGTGAAGTCTCCACATGTAGTCTGCAGGAGAAGTAAAGAAGATTAACTCTATCCTGTCTTTCACCAAGTTGCTAAGGCTATATCTACCCTACAATCGGGATCAAGGCTATGGGATCAATCCACCGGCAGTTGATTTAGCAGGTCTAGTGAAGACCTGCCACATCAACAGCAGATCGCTCTGCAGTTGACCCCTGTACTGTACTCCCAACAACCCCATGGTAACTCAACCTAAGGTATGTCGAGTTATTCGCATAGCTGGAGGTGTGTAGCGTAGGTCGACTTACCGCGGTGGTGTAGACATAGCCTAAGAGTCTCCCACTTGCCACCACCGCAGGCGTTTGTGAGCTGGAGACGAAGGGAGGCACCTAAACCTATCAGTGTTACACTTTGTATTTGCAACATTAAGCCTTATGTTACTCACGGGCAGGGGTAGTCAATAGGTGGACTGGGGATCACCAAACACTTTTGAATAGACCCTGAAATCTTATTTACTTATTATTGTTGGGTTTATATTATTATTTTCTCTGGAGGCCTTGACTATACCTTTGACCAAGAAATTTGGACCTTGACAAAACAGACTACCCCTACTCTAGGGCATTGGCCAGGTGGTAACTATTATCCTCATTTTACAGAAATGTAAACTGAAGAACTAGGGTTACCATACGTCCGGTTTTTCCCGGACACATCCGGCTTTTTGGTAATCAAACCCCCGTCCGGGGGGAATTGCCAAAAAGCCGAACATGTCCGGGAAAATGCCGGCCAGGCACTTCCCCTCCCGCGGCTACTCTGCTCCTCCCGACTCTTCGGCTCTGTTTAAGAGCCGAGCTGCCCGAGCGCTATGGGCTTCAGGCAGCCCCCTTGCCTCCGGACCCCAGCCGCCGGCCGGGCACTTCCCCTCCCGGGCTCCAGCGGCGCAGAGTCCGGAGGCATGGGGGCCGCCCGAAGCCCGAGCGCTACCGGCTTCACGGTTTGCCGGGCAGCCTCCAGACCCTGCGCCCCCGGGCGGGCGCTTCCCCTCCCGGGCTCCAGCTGCGCTGGGGAAGCGCCGGCTGAGGGCGCAGGGTCTGGGGGCTGTCCGGCAAACCATGAAGCCGGTAGCGCTCGGGCAGCCCTTTTCGCGTGGCTGGGAGTGGGAGGGAGGAAGGGGCGGGGTTGGGGCGGAGAAGGGGTGGGCTGGGGGTGGGAAATGGGCAGGGCCAGGGCCCCGTGGAGGGTCCTCTTTTTTTATTTGTTAAATATGGTAACCCTAGAAGAACAAAAGTTACAAAACTTGGTGCTGGCCTCCTCCCTCATTTCCCCCGCAGTAAGGGCAGAACCATGTAGGAAAATCAGGCATCTTACCACTTATGTGCCTGCTTTCAGTATTAAATCATCTTCAGTCACTTAAGGAAGGCAATGGATTAGTAGGGTTGTGTACTTACTATAGGGAGTGTTGGTATCACCACTTGTAGGCAAGGCTGCCTAACGCTTCCCCTCCAAAACTATCAAAGCACTACACCATCTTTAAAGCAAGTTTTATTTTGCTGTATATACAATTTAAGCTATTAAAAATGTACACAATATTTACAAATTAAATAATTATCCAAACCCTCTTCACCTCCAACACAACTCTGCAACACACAAAACAATGAAAGAAGTTAAAGGAAACCATTGGGATGAATATAGGCCATGAACATTTCCCAATGGTCTCCCCATTTATGTATTTTCCTCTTCATTTATGTATGTAAATAAACTCCTAAATGATGCAAATATCATGGAATGTGTGGCACAGTTTAGCACATCCTCTGCTAAATAGTCATTTTATTGAAATTGAAAACATAAAATATGGATGCTTCCCTAAACTATTCCCACCTTTAAATTCAAACAATTTAATTTTAAACAGGACATATGGCATATTTAAAAAACAAAAAACAAAAACACCTTTTAAGCAATCGCTGGAAGTATGAGACCAAGTTTTCTCCTCTTCCGCACACCCAGCACTGAATTAAAGATGTTTATGTAGGCTGGCTTGTTATTGCAGAGTTCCTCATATTACCATAGTTATTTCTGGTAAGGAGCCAAACAAGTTATTTTGGGGGCATGGAGGAGGGGAGGGGAGGGGACCCTCAGCATTAAAAATCAAACAGGATATATGAGGACCACATGTCAAATTCTGAGTTGACTGATCTTATCATCCCTTTATAGAATGAAGAAAAGGCCTCTCTGCTCACTGAAGGAAATGCACATGTTCCAAGCATGCAGCACCCTTTAAAAAAGAAAAAATGCAGTCTCTCACTACTTCATGTTCCATGGCCAGAGAACAGGAGGTTCTCGATCCACACTCACAGAGGAGTCTGCATTTATGTATGGATTTTACTCATGCTTTTTGTTGCTGGTCTTTCTTAAAACCAAGTTTTTCTTTCTTAAGGTTTGGATATAAAGAAGGGAGGGAATGCATAGTTATTACACCAAATGCAAGTTTAGCCCACTGTCTTGCTACAAAGTGATATGCAACCTGGTTGCCTTTTGATACCCTCTCCCCACCAGAACACCAGGATCCTAGCTGTCTGCCAGATATCACCATCCCTTGTCACAGTCACCCACTCCTATCCTCAATGCTCAGTTCTAATTCTCGGTGGCTGGGACTCCCATCCAAACCAGTATTGTAATCCTGATGTGCCTCCAACAAAAACACAGATCTATGTTTTAAAAATATAAATCTTTAACTACTTTTGCCCTTCTTCAGAAGGAACTCAATTAACAACTGAATTTACAACCCTTAAGTGCAGTCTCTGGATTGTTTCCCTGAGATAGGTGTATGATTAGAAGCCACTTAAAGAGAAGCACTGAAGGGTTATACTAACTGCTGAATTAAAGTAAACTGACTAGCAAACAACGGTTTAGGGTCACCACGCACACAATTTTTGTGGTTTTGGGTGGGGAGGGGAGGGGAAGACAGGAATTTTAGGACTCATTCAGTGCTGGTTCTATAATGTAATCTATTGCCTGTTGTAGAGCATCTTCCTTATACTAAAAATGCTTACTTAACCCTTCATTACCTCTCCTATCTAAATCCAGCCCATGGCTTAGTTCCCCATTAAGTTGATATCCCTTTAGATACAGGGGTGCGTATACTGTATTATGTTTGCATTAAGTATGTGAGTTCACATAACTCTATTGGATGGGATTTTCAAATCACTCGGGGACTTTTAGGACCCCCAGTCCCACTGAAAGTCAACAGGACTGGTGCTCCTAAGTCATTTAAGTGATCCCCCTGTCATGACTTACACTCAGGAGACGTGTCAAACAATTACAAGTCATATTAGTCCTCTCAAATTACATTTTTGAAACACAGTGTTTAAGGACTTTAATATCTTTGCCTGTTGTCTTAACCTATTTGTCCTGTTTTTAAAATTATATAGGCTCACACAAAAAGGGACAGAAGTAGCCTATCGTAATGGCCAAGGTAGCCAAGAGCCTTTTCCAGCTGATTACTAACAGACTGAACAAACTCATGGTCCATAACCACGCTTTAATTGCTTGCTTACATCAATCCAAAAATTTTTGAATTTGGTGTTAGTCTTTTAAGGTGCGTTGGTATGCAAGCAAGGATCTGGGGAAAGAACTAGGCTGGACAGATTGCAGAGGAGTTACTAAAAATCTAACATATGTGAAGGTGCTACAAGTAACAAACCCATAAAGTCATATGTTCTTATATCAATTAGCCTAATGTCCTTTAATTGACCTACAGAGTCTTGGTAGTAAAACAGACTGGATGAGCAGGGTCTCATTGCTAATGGGAAGTTTCTACTTATTTATCCAAAGTAAAGGTATTTTCCTATAGGAGTTCCACCACTAATACTGTC